GATTAGTTAACTATCCGACTAACTACGTTTTGTGCAACGCAGTTAAGTCATGTAGTTAACTAATTACAGTTAAGGATTTAACTACAGTGATTAACGCTAACTACAGTTAGCGCTAATTACGTTTTTATACAACCGGCCCCTGTTCTTTAACAATTGTAAATATTACTAAATTACTTGTTAATTAACTTCGTTCTGATACTTAAATAATAGTAATCATCCCACCCTTTTATCGTTGTATATTGTGAGGACCGCGTATACATGTTAGACAGCTATTGACATGATTTTGTTTCCCTCATTAGCTCTTGGATGAGGAAAGGAAATTAAACTAAATATCGCTCAAAAGAAAAACATAGGTCCACTGTGGCGTACATGCACCTGCTGAATAGTATCACCAGGAAATAAAAGGCATTGAGCAGATAAAAACATAGCTACGCTATGGCCTACATAGTCTAGACTGGAATGGTTGATGGTGGACGAAAAAATATAACGCAAATAAACACGATGAAAAGGCTACTTAATTTCGATTTCTACATTAATCTGTTACTAAATTTCATTGCCCGTAAAGTCTATTTACTGTAGAGTTTTGTTGCTGGACGTTAAACAAATGTTATGAGATTATGATTCCCTTTGTGTGTCGCACTATACATTATTTAGTATAGTTTGCAAATTTCGCAAGATATTTTATAGAATATTTAAAATATTTCAAACAGCATGTCTGTTTATTTTTGTTTCATGTTCCTTTACTGAAATGCCACACTTCTAATTAGTTCACTACTGCTGTATTGACAAAACAGTGTGATGAAGACGTGATGTCATTTTCTCTTCCGCATTGCACGTAAAGATAACTTAACACGTAAATATCTTGAAGGAACATGACGTATTTATTGTACGAAATTTTCTCCGAAAGACTCCATTAAATAAATATCTGCTAGTAAAAACTTATGATAGACTCCAAATTTTAAAAATTTCCCCCCTTGGCCCAACTATTGTGGTTACTCGTGGGAGTTACCCCCTAACTTTTACAAGCTTCCTACGCCCCTGCCTTCAAACAAAGCAGTATTGTGGTGCCTCGTGGGAGTCGCCCCCCCCAAATAACTATCGGTAGTAGAAACATATAATAGACTCCACATTTTCAAAATTTCCCCCCTCGGCGCCAGCTATTGTGTTGCTATAGTGGGAGTGCCTTCCGCTAACTTTTACAAGCTTTCTACGCCCCTATCTTCAAGCAAACCAGTATTGTGGTGCTTCGTGGGAGTCCCCCCTCTAAAGAAATATATAGGGCCGGTTGTACGAAGGCCGGATAGTGATTTTTTCAAACTTTGTTAAATCAGGTATACCTCGTATATATTGAAGTTTAGTATTTATAAGTTAAACGTTTTATATACTTCTTGTGTGGTCTATATTCGTAGTTTCACAGTTTTTCAAGCATTTTACAAAGGTTGAAAAAATCACTATCCGGTGAATAGCGCCAACCGACCTTCGTACAACCGGTCTCAGGTAGTAAAAACTTATAACAGACACCAAATTTTACAATTTCCCCCGTCGGCGCCAACCATGCATTGTGGTGCCTCGTTGGAGTCGCCTCCCTAAGTTTTGCAAGCTTCCCACGCCCCTATCTTCAAGGAAACCTGTCTTGTCAGTTAAAGCCTGGAAGCTTTTTTTGCATTAAATAAATATGTGCTAGTAGAAACTTATAGTAGTACATGGTTTGGCACACTACTATTGTTATAAAGATGTGGAGTATGAAAAGAAAAACGTGTATAAAATGTATAAGCTCGATACCTGTTAGGTTAGCGGTGAAACCAATATCTCCGTACACATTGCTCAAAACGCTCAGCACCAACACTGACGAAAGCAATATCATTTCTAAATTAAGAAAAAGAATAAATTTTAACAATTTTAGCAAATATTGTAGCCTAACCGGAAGCCTCAGCAAATAATCTCAAGCAAATTATTATTTTGTTGATCTTAGGTTTGGACCCGGCAATAAATATCACATTTTTGCAATACGTCTTATTCTTTCCAAGTTAATGTTGGCTTGGAAAATAAAGACCAGACACTCAAGTTTACTTCGACCATTCAACGTTAACCATTCTATGATCTCGATCAATAAAAATTTATGAACAAATTACTATACTGTAATATGTAAAAGAGTATAAGGGACGAACCATCAGAAAAGTGATGGAGGGGGGGGGGACATTTCCAACCTGTGCGATCATTTTTTCAAAAATTTTTGCTTGTGTCAATAATTTTATTTTTGAAAAATCCCTTGCTCGAATTTTATTTTTTTTCAAAAAATTGTTGGCGAGCAGGGGGGGGGAGACATGTTTTCAGGACACTAAAAAAAGGGTCAAAAAATTTTCCGCAAAAACAAGAGTCAAGTTAAGGTTCAAATAAAATTTTCCGTCACAAATTCTTGTTAAAACATGCTTAAAACCTTTTCTGCACCAATATACCAAAGACAATATCTTCAATATTTAGGTTTAGAAACTTTTTTCTCACACCATTATTTATATATCAAAAAAAGTTTTATTTTCCAAATTTGAGGGCCACCTTTACACAACTTATAATTTTCCCTAATGAGAAGTTTCTGCACGAATTTTTTTTAATCGAATTTTTTTTCTGCTTCCCCTGCTCGATTTTTATTTTTGCTTTTGCCCCCCCCCCAAAAAAAAAAAATTCTCACGGTCAGCCCCTAAGCTATTTGTAGCAACCAAACTATGATCTTTTGCTGTAAGCGACAAACTAATCGAAAGCCATTTTTCCGAGAATTCGCCAATCAGCTTTTCCGACCGCCAGGCGGTTCGACTCCACACAGTGATTTTGATACGATTTTCCTCACACTTTCATTTTGCCCAAACATCCCACCCGCAAGTTTTAGGGCAGCAAAATGATGGTCTGTGATCATGCAACCTACAGATACTACGTCATTTACCAAAATATTAACTGGGTTACTGTTACAGTTACAATTACAGTTGTAGTCTGAAAACTCAGAAAAGTAATAATCACATGTATACTTATACGTGTAACGAAGTTATACTCACCGGCACTGGAACCTCGGTTTAAGTCGAGAGGGGTGCCTTCTCGTTTGCAGCTTGCTTCTCAGCTGGAATTGAACAAGAATAAATATCAATGTTTCAGTCGAGACCTCTATCACCACCCATGCAAGCACATCATTACTGTCGTTCCAATTGAAGTGTTGCTCAAATATTGATTCAATACATTACCTCGGGCTGACCAATTCATTTCATCAAGTTCCTCGAGATATTCATACACTTCCTAGTATAATTGTAAACTTCCTGTTGAATAGTTTGAATGCAC